CTATAGGTTAATTTAATAATCAGCTTCCAATATATTAAACAACCTATTATTTAAAGGTTCATTCTCATTAAAGGATTTAAAAGAAATGAAAGTACTTATGAGAAAGTACTTCCCTGAATTGTTTTATCATTGCACGAGTGATAGGTCCTTTAGGCATGACATAAGGATCCGTTGGTGTGGTTATGATCACATCACATATAGTGCCAAATACAGAACCACTCAACTTTATGGCATGTCAATCGTACCAACTTTTCATATCATAACACAATGGGTAATTTATACCCTAAAAATTTCCTTTACACATATCTTGAACATATAAAGGACATCATGAATCACTTTCTTTTTAACATATATAAATCATATTCATCATATTCATCATATAATAAATATCAGAACTTTCAAACCAATGTAACAAAGTTGACTCATTTCGAACATTTATGATAATATATAACATAAGAGCATCATAAAATGCATGATTTACCTCAATTTCATATTCTAGCAGTTTGCACTACCCTCAAAGAAATATTATTCTGTATTAATAAACACTTATCAACAACTTAATAAAAGATCCCTTTTATTTTCAAATCTGAATAAGACTTTTGTCGATCGACAACAATCTTGAGATTATCTTAAATAATATTTACATATTACAAAGTTCATTGTAACTCATTCCCATTCCCACTAAGGGATGGAAATCAATTACAACAATTCAGAAGGCACTTGATGCTCTGCAACTTGTTGACATGTAAAGCATTTAGAAACAAACTCAGTGATAGTACTTTTCATACATGCCACTAATATTGACTCTTTCCTCGATTATATAAGCATCCATCAGACTTAACTTCAAGATCTTTGGTTTCACTTTTTTCCACTTGTTCTATCCTTGACAATAACCTTTTATCTTTTCTATGAAGATCCTTTACTCGATCTAACAACAAAGACTTTAACTTTAATTTTGCAATCAAACACCATTTTTCTTTAAAGACAATCACATAATCAAAACTCTCAGAATATAAATTTTTTCAGTTTTCTCGTATCAACCTGCACATTAGCCTTTCTTGATGGTAGTCGATAAGCATGTCATTATTCTTTGAGGAATTCAATCGATTTCCTTTATTTTCAAACTTTTGAGTTAACACATACTTTTGACTTTTGAGATCAGTATAGATAGTGTTACTCACCATATAGATAGTGGTGTTATATATATGAAATGAACAGAACTCTTGCTAACTTAAGATCATGAGTTAGATAATTTCTTTCATGATTCTTAGTCGGTATAAAGCATAAGCCATAACATTTCCTCTTGCATGATCTCACATCCTAAATCATTATAAGACGCATCAATATAAATCACATAATCTTTTCTAGATTGGATTCACTGACACTGGGGCTTCTATCAGTATTATCTTTAATGTCTCGAAATTTTCTTGTCACTTATCAACCTAAACGAATGACACGTCTATTCTCAAAAGTTTGGTCAGAGGGGAAACAATCATCGAAAAGTTTTTTACGAACCTTTAATAATAACCATTAATATATCAAGGACATCATGAATCACTTTCCTTTTTAACATATATAAATCATATTCATCATATAATAAATATCAAAACTTTGATATCAATGTAATAAAGTTGACCCATTTCGAACATTTATGATAACATATAACATAAGAGCATCATAAAATGCATGACTTACCTCAATTTCATATTCTAGCAGTTTGCACTACCCTCAGAGAAATATTATTCTGTATTAATCTACACACTTAAAATTTATTATATTTATACCAATGGAAACTAAAATCGAATACAAATCTAAACATATAAGACACTTCTTCTAGTTCAATTTTTATAATTTGTGGTAAATTTTTAAATCTAACCTACATAAATTATTTTAAGCAAAATCTATTATCATATTTTTGACCTATTCTCGATTAAAAATTCATATCTTTTTATATACTCCCCAAAATCAGTATTTGTTTGTTTTAAAAGAAACTAGACTGAAATACAAATCCAACGGTATAAAAATCACCCTCTAATAATTTATTTAGAATTTATGGTAATTTTCTAAACTTATTGTTCAAAACAAAAATGTCAAGGTAGATTTTACTAATTAGCATCTTTAGTTTATTCCTTAATTCTATTAGGATACCAAATAAACATATATGCATAAAGTATAAAATCACATAACCTTGAGGAATTACTTCTTACCATTTTAATTTTTCATTAGCTCATCGCAAACCAATGTTTTCTCGATAACATAAACACAAATCAAATGCATTCACTTGGTGCCATAGCGTGCAAACCTTTCTTAAAAATTCACATTCATCCATTAGCTTCTCCTTAGCATTAATATTGTTTGATCCTGAATTCAAGAATATAATCTAAATGGACTTCATTTACAAAACATATATAATTCAAATAACATGTTAGAATCTTACTAACATAGGCACCCATTAGAAAATAAATTCCTAAAAATCTTTCGATGCTCATTCAATACTAATTTCATGTCACAATATAAATGTTGATCTTAACACTTCATATTGACCATTCAAGTCCCGTTTTATTCAAATTCATCAGAACATCACATAACATTTTCAGCTTTACATTTTCACCACTTATTATGAATTCTTTACATAACTTTTCTATTTATTCAAGATAGACATTTGATATTTAACTTCAATTCGAACTTCAAATGACATCTTCATAAATTTCAGCATTTAATTTACACAAGGTACACCAACAATTATAAAATTTTAACTTAAATTCCTAACTTTTCTATATTTACTATTTGGTCCACAATCTTTACCAATTTTCTAAAATAGTCCAATTTCACATTCTACCATCAAATCCAACATTCCAACACTAAATTCCAGCATAGTACAACAACTAATGGAAAATTACACATCAACCCATAAATTTTATAAATTATGAATAGGTCCATAAACTTGTGCAAATTTACATATTGATCCAAGTAACATTCTAAAGATTGTATAACATTCCAAATATCATTTTTAAGCTTAGGGAATTTTCCATAATTTTCAATACATACCTGATGTAAAAGGATGAGGATACTACTTTTTTTCATATCTTATTCTCTTTTTCAATTAGCTTTCTCAACCTTTGATTTTTCTATTGAACTTTAATGAGTACTCTTCTTTTTCACAAGTCAAATTCTGAATGAATATTAATATCATCTGGTGAGTTAACATTAGAAGAATTTGATAGATACATTAAGAAACACTTATCAACAACTTAATAAAATATCCCTTTTATTTTCAAATCTGAATAAGACTTTTGTTGAGCGACAACTATCTTGCGATTATCTTAAATAATATTTACCTATTACAAAGTTCATTGTAACTCGTTCCTATGCCCACTAAGGGATGGAATTAAGTTACAAAAATCCAGAAGGCACTTGATGCTCTGCAACTTGTTGACATGTCAAGCATTTAGAAACAAACTCGGTGATAGTACTTTTCATGCATGCCACTAATATCGACTCTTTCCTCAATTATATAAGCATCCATCAGACTTAACTTGAAGAACTTTGGTTTTACTTTTTTTCCTCTTGTTCTATCCTTGAAATAACTTTTTATCTTTTCTTTGAAGATCCATTACTTGATCTAACAACATAGACTTTAACTTTAATTCTGCAATCAAAGCACCATTTTTCTTTAAAGACAATCATATATTCAAAACTCTCAGAACATAAATGTCTTTCAGTTTAATCATATCAATCTCCACATTAGCCTTTCTTGGTGGTAGTCGATAAGCACATCATCATTCTTTGAAGAATTCAATCCATTTCCTTTATTTTCACTCTTTTGAGTTAACACATACTTTTAACTTTTGAGATCAGTATAGATAGTGTTACTCACCATATAGATAGTGGTGTTATATCTATGAAATGAACATAACTCTTAGTAACTTAAGATCATGAGTTAGATAATTTCTTTCATTATTCTTAGTTGCTATAAAGCATAAGTCATAACTTTTCCTTTTGCATGAGCTCATATCCTAAATCATTATGAGACGCATCACTATAAATCACATAATCTTTTTTAGATTGGATTACACTGACACTGGTGCTTCTGTCAGTATTCTCTTTAATGTCTCAAAATTTGCTCGTCACTTATCAACCTAAACGAATGACACGTCTTTTCTCAATAGTTTGGTCAGAGGGGAGACAATCATCGAAAAGTTCTTTATGAACCTTTAATAGTAACCATTAATATATCAAGGACATTATGAATCACTTTCCTTTTTAACATATATAAATCATATTCATCATATAATAAATATCAAAACTTTGATATCAATGTAAGAAAGTTGACCCGTTTCGAACATTTATGATAACATATAACATAAGAGCATCATAAAATGCATGACTTACCTCAATTTCATATTCTAACAGTTTGCACTACCCTCAGAGAAATATTATTTGTATTAATCTACACACTTAAAATTTATTACGTTTATACTACTGGAAACTAAAATAGAATAAAAATCTAATCATATAAGGCATTTCTTCTAGTTCAATTTTTATAATTTATGGTACATTTTTAAATCTGACTACCATAAAATGTTTTAAGCAGAATCTACTGTCCTATTTTTTAACCTATCCTCGATTAAAAATCTATATCTTTTTATATACTCCTCAAAATCAATATTTGGTTTTTTTAAAAGAAACTTCACTGAAATACAAATCCAACGGTATAAAAATCACCCTCTAATAATTTCTTTAAAATTTATGGTAATTTTCTAAACTTATTGTTCAAAACAAAATGTCAAGGCAGATTTTACTAATTAGCATCTTTAGTTTATTCCTTAATTCTATTAGTATACCAAATAAACATATATGCATAAAACATAAAATCATGTAACCTTGAGGAATTACTTCTTACCTTTTTAACTTTTTCATTAGCTCATCACAAACCAATGTTTGCTCGATAACATAAAAACAGATTAAATGCATTCACTTGGTGCCCTTAGCTTGCAAACCTTTCTTAAAATTTCACAATAATCCGTAAGCTTCTCCATAGCATTAATATTGTTTGATCCTGAATTCAGGAATACAATCTAAATGGACTTCATTTACAAAACATATGTAATTCAAATAACATGTTAGAATCTTACTAACATAGGCAACCATTAGAAAATAAATTCCTAAAACTCTTTCGATGTTCGTTCGATATTAATTTCATGTCACAACATAAATGTTGATCTTAACACTTCATATTCACCATTCAAGTCCCTTTTTATCCAAATTAATTAGAACGTCACATAACATTTTCACCTTTACATTTTCACCACTAATTATGAATTCTTTTAGAATCCATCTCAACTTTTCTATTTATTCAAAATGGCCATTTGATATTTAACTTCAATTCAAGATTCAATTGGCATCATCATAAATTTCAACATTTAATTCACACAGGGTACATCAACAATTATAAAAGTTTAACTTAAATTCCTAACTTTTCTATATTTACGATTTGGTATACAATCTTTACCAATTTTCTAAAATAGTCCAATTTCACATTCTACCATCAAATCCAGCATTCCAACACTAAATTCTAACTAAGTACAACAACTACTGCATAATTGCACATAAACTCCATAATTTTTCATAAATTATGAATATGTCCCTAAACTTGTGCAAATTTACATTTTGTTCTAAGAAACATATTAAAGATTTTATAACATTCCAAATATCATTTTTAAGCTTAGGGAATTTTCCATAATTTTCAATACATACCTGATGTAAAAAGATGAGGACACTACTTTTTTCATATCTTATTCTCTTTTTCAATTAGCTTTCTCAACCTTTGATTTTCTATTGAAGTTTAATAAGTACTCTCCTTTTTCACAAGTCTAATTCTGATTGAATGTTAATATCATCCGGTGTATTAACATGAGAAGAATTTGATCGATACATTAAGAAACACTTATCAACAACTTAATAAAAGATCCTTTTATTTTCAAATATGAATAAGACTTGTCGATCGACAACTATCTTGAGATTATCTTAAATAATCTTTACCTATTACAAAGTTCATTATAACTCATTCCCATTCACACTAAGGGATGGAAATCAGTTACAACAATCCAGAAGGCACTTGATGCTCTGCAACTTGTTGACATGTCAAGCATTTACAAACAAACTCGGTGATAGTACTTTTCATGCAAGCCACTAATATCGACTCTTTCCTCGATTATATAAGCATCCATCAGACTTAACTTCAAGAGCTTTGGTTTCACTTTTTTTCCACTTGTTCTATTCTTGACAATAACTTTTTATCTTTTCTTTGAAGATCCTTTACTTGATCTAACAACATAAACTTTAACTTTAATTCTGCAATCAAAACACCATTTTTCTTTAAAGGCAATCACATATTCAAAACTCTCAGAACAGAAATGTCTTTCAGTTTAAATGTATCAACCTCCGCTTTAGCCTTTCTTGATGGTAGTCGACAAACACATCATCATTCTTTGAGGAATTCAATCATTTACTTTATTTTCACTCTTTCGAGTTAACACATACTTTTGACATTTGAGATTAGTATAGATAGTGTTACTTACCATATAGATAATGGTGTTATATCTATAAAATGAACACAACTCTTGCTAACTCAAGATCATGAGTTAGATAATTTCTTTCATGATTCTTAGTTTATATAAAGCATAAGCCATAAGTTTTCCTCTTGTATGAGATCACATCCTAAATCATTATGAGACGCATCACTATAAATCACATAATCTTTTCTAGATTGGATTACACTGACACTGGTTCTTCTATCAGTAAATGTCTCAAAAAATTTTGTCACTTATCAGCCTAAACGAATGACACATCTTTTCTCAATAGTTTGATCAGAGGGGAGACAATCATCAAAAAGTTCTTTACAAACCTTTAATAGTAACCATTAAGTCCCAAGAAACTTCGAATTTCAGAAATACTCTTTGGAATTTTTCATTCAACTATGGATTTTACTTTCTTGAGGTCTATTATTATCCCCTCTGCTAAGACCACATGGCCAAGGAATGCAAATTCAGACAACCAAAATTCACATTTTATCAACTTAACATACAACTTTTTATCTCAAAGTGTTGGAAGAACTATACAAAGATATGCACAGTTTTCTTCCTTAGTCTTAGAATAGATCAAAATATCATCAACGAACACTACCACCAATTAGTCCAAATATTAGTGAAATACTCGGTCTTTTTCAAATCTGTAAATATTGCAGGAATATTAGTTAAACCAAACGACATTACCACAAATTCATGGCATTCATATTGAGTCGTGAAAGCTTTCCTAGGAAGATCTTGTTCCTTAATCTTTAACTTATAATATTCAAATCGGAGATCAATCTTGGAAAACATTATTGAATCTTTTAACTTATCAAAAGATCATCGATCATTGAAATATGATACTTATTCTTCACTATTACCTTATTTAATTGACGATAATCCGTACATAATTACATAGACTCGTCTTTCTTTTTCAAAAATAACACTGATGCGTCCCATATGACAATCTTGATTTTGTAAATCCTAAATCATAACAATTCTAGTAACTATGCTTTTAATTCTATAAGATCAGTCAGATTCATTCAATATTGGGCCATAGAAATAAACATAGTACCTGGTAACATCTCTATTTTATATTCTATACCTCAATTTGGAGGTAATCCAAGTAACTTTTCCAAAAACATATCTGGATACTCTCAAATAGTTAAGATAAATTCCAACCTAACTTTGAAAATTTGCATATCCTCCACATTTGTTAAGAAGACTTGACAACCTTGTAGCAATAACTTCGTAGCAGATACAGTAAAAATCACATTAGATAAGAGATTCATCCTTTCATCGACTATTATTATCGTAGTACCTTCCGAATCTACAATATTAATTACTTTAAGTGACAATCTACTATGTCATGATAAGGATATAACCAATCTATACCAAGAATTATATCAAATTCCTTGGAAGGTAATTCCATAAAAATCCATTAAAAATTTAACTCTTCGAATCTTAAACAGACAGTTTATGTAAATACGACTCACCCTCTTACTCTGGCCTAAGGGGTTAATCGCACACATGTCATTTAGGTTTAATTATATCAAAATGTCATTTTCTTAATCAATGTAGTACTTGTATAAAGACGAGGGTTTTTTTTAGTCTTACACAGGCACTTCCTATTATGCCAATACATTATCTTAATTTGATTAAACAGGGGGATTGCAATTAATTGCATTACAATAAGTACTCGCTTATTCTCAAACATCATGTTTGGTTACTTACTTCAAACCCTCTATTACAAACATCTAGTACATACACTAAACTTATTCACTTTCATTAGTAAGGAGCGACATCAATAGAATCATATAAACATCATATATAAATAATGACATCCTAATGGCACACATACACTTTTCAACACAAAATAGACTCAGTTTAGACCTAGAATCGGCTAAACCTACAGCTTTGATACCTATAAATGTAGCACATCTTTCCCGTATCCGACCCTTAACACGAGTTAGAGTTGTCACAAAACATTTACAGATAATCATGTAAAATCCGATAAAATTTTGTTACTTTAACATTTATGCAATTTAACCTTTTACTAAAGCCACTTAATCATGTAAAATCAAAATATAATACACTATCATATAAATCAAGCTTGATTTTAGGCAGAAATGTAAAAGATAAATACTATTACATATCTTAAATGATAATTCTTAAAAAAAAACTACCTAATTCAAAATTCTCCCTTTATTCCAATAAAATGTAATTTTTATCTAAAATATAAAACTTAGATTCATATTTATAATCATAAGAACTTATCTCAAACATTTCTTATTCATATACATGCCATCTAAAAAATTTAAAATAGTAAGATGTCATTATTTATACGTGTAATAATTCTTTGTTGATTGATGTCAATCTCAACTCCTTACTTTACTTACTCTTCTTTAACTACACTTGAAAATCATCACACGTTAAGTATACACTTAGTGAGACATATATAAATTAAAGTAAAGCTTTGTAAAACATAAAATATTAAATATATAGCTAAAGTACTATGAATGTCATATAAAAATATGACGTATAAAATATACTTTCAAACCTCTTGATTTATATTGTAACATGTAAAATCTTCATTTCACATGTATGAGACTTATCAGGTCAAATCAAGTACTCAATAAAACATTAGCTTTCTTTTAAATCATATAACATGTATAAACCCTTTATCATATACAAAGCATATCATGCCAAATCAAATATACCTAATGAACCATTTGCTTTCCTATAAATCATATATATATATATATATATATATATATATATATTATTCTCATATTCAATTTATAGCCCAATATATATCAAATTAGAATATAAGGTTCATGAGACAGAACAAGTGTGTGCACAACATGCAGTCGTAACTACTAGAACAAAACGAACCATTGGTGCCAGACATAAATATAGGTGTTGCAGAACATAATATCACTATATTAAATAAGAAATTAGTTATGGAAACTCACAATGTTAACACATCATGAAGCTCGAAACACATGAATAGAGAAAGATAAATGTACACAAAAGTACCAGAATGCACATATAGTGCCATATACAGAATCACTCAACCTCATGGCATGTCAATCGTACCACTAATTCTCAATGCACATACAATAGGATTTTCCATTAATTATTATATATAAACCAATTATAAAAGATTCAATTTATCATATACCAATATATCCAACTTTTCATATCATAACACAATGGATAGTTCATACCCTAAATATTTCTTTTACACATATCATGAACTTATCACATACATCATGAATCACTTTCCTTTTTAACATACATAAATCATATTCATCACATAATAAATATAAAAAATTTCATACCAATGTAATGAAGTTGACTCATTTTGAACATTTATGATAGCATATAACATAACAACATCATAAAATACATGATTTACCTCAATTTCATATTCAGGCAATTTGCACCAACCTCAAAGAAATATTATTTTGTATTAATCTACACACTTAAAAATTATTATATTTATACCAATGGAAACTAGACTCGAATAAAAATCTAATAATATAAGGTACTTCTTCTAATTAAATTTGTACAATTTATGGTAAATTTTTAAATCTGACTTACAAAAGATGTTTTGAGCAGAATCTGTTGCCCCATTTTCTGACCTATCTTCGATTAAAAATTCATATATTTTTTATAATGCTCAAAATCAATATCCGTTTGTTTTAAACAAAACTAGACTGATATACAAATCCAAAGGTATAAAAATAATCTTGTAATCATTTATGTAGAATTTATGGTGATTTTCTAAACTTACTGTTCAAAACAAAATTTATAGGCAGATTTCACTAGTTAACATCTTTAGTTTATTCCTTAATTCTATTAGCATACCAAATGAACATATATTCATAAATCATAAAATAAAATAACCTTGAGGATTTACTTCTTACCATTTTAACTCCGTCATTGGCTCATTGCAAACCATTATTTGCTCGATAACATAAACACAAATTAAATGCACTATCTGGTGTCCTTAGCTTTCAAACCTTTACTAGAATTTCACATTTATCCTTAGGCTTCTCATTAGCTTTAATATTGTTTTATCTTGAATTCAAGCCCACAATCTAAGTGAACATCATTTACGAAACATTTACAATTCAAATCACATGCTAGAACCTTATTAACATAGGCACACATTAGAAAATAAATTCCTAAAAATCTTCCGATTCTCATTCGATACTAATTTCAGGTCATAACATAAATGTTGACCTTAACACTTCAAGTTGACAATTCAAGTCCCTTTTTATCCAAATTCATTAAAACTTCACATATCATTTTAAATTTACATTTTAACCACCCAGAATTTAATTCACACAAGGTACATCAACAATTACAAAATTTTCACTTAAATTCCTAACTTTTCTATATTTACGATTTGGTTTTCAAACTTTAAAAATTTTACAAAATAGTCCAATTTCACATTCTAACATCAAATTCAACATTCCAACACTAAATTCTAGCATAGTACATATTACACAATTGCACATTAGCCCCATAAGTTTTTTATAAATTGTGAATAGGTCCATAAACTTGTGTAAATTTGGATATTGGTCCAAATAACATTCTAAAGCTTGTAGAACCTTCCAAATATCAATTCTAAGCTTAGAGAATTTTTCCATAATTTTTTTCTTTAGGCCAAACAATTAGGGTTAAGGATTTCATGATTGCCAACTTGATTCAAATATGAATTCAACCTCTAAACAACATTTCAAAGCTTCTACAATCAAACTCCTAACATAATTTATCAAATTCACAACTTTCTCAAAATCCTAGGTTAAGGTCGAATCAATTAGGGCTTGATTTCAAGTGTTTTAATCACCACACAAGCTTGTAAACAACTCTACAACATCAACAACATCAAAATCTATCATCAATTCATAAAACCCTAATACCCCTTCATCTACCATATTCATGAACTTGTGATTTCAAGCATGTTTAGCATGTCTAATTAGTACCAAATGATAGAACATTTTGAATAGAACAATTTTTTATTTCACGCTTTAATCCAAAAACCTAAGGAAATTGCTTGAAAATAGAAAATAAAATTTTCTCTTACCTTGATATGAAGCTCATGCCCAAGATGATGAAGACGACTAAATTTTCAAGAAATTTCTACACTAATTTCATATACATTTGTCATTTATTAAGCTTAAATAAATTTAAAATTCATTTAATGGGAAATGACAATTATATCCTTAATGAAACTTGATAATTACAATAATACATTGTCACATGTTAATTATCATCTTCCTAAGTCAAAGATGAGCAAATAAATTTACCCTTTACAACCTTACCCATACTTTTTTTTCCAAAAATTCCAATCTTGCCATTTTCATCCAACAGTCCATAATTAGCATAAAATTAATTCTCATATTCAATGCTCCATATTATTTTCCATCATTTTAAAATGTGAAAATAATATTTCTAACCTTAATTTATTATTCTTCAAAATTTCTCAAAAATTCGATTTGATCCGATTAACCAAATTTTTAACGGACTTTAACAGTTTATAACTTTTAATACAAAATCCGAATAAAAATATGATTCCTACGTAAACGTCATTCTTTGAGTTGAACTATTCATTTATGGAGCCAAAATACCTAACTTTTGAAATTTAGACTTTGATCCTTGCATTTTTAATCTTTATACTTTTGACACTAAACTTTCAAAATTTATATTTTCGTCACTTACAAAAATTTTGGGGGTATTACACCACCGTTAAAATATTAGCGACAGTGATGGCATGAAATTATTTTCCCTTTTTTGATATTCCTTGTGTCTTATAATATAAATTCCACATCATCGGTGCCGTTAAGTTTTTAATGATGGGGTAACAAATCGAAACCTAAGCTAAACTTGAGGCATGACAAATTTCTCCACTTTTCTCTTTTATTTTCCCGCCCCTCTTCTCCGCGAGAAAATAAAAGAAGAAAAGGAACTTCTGGTAAGTCCTCATTTCGAAAAAAAGAAGAAGTTAATAATCCAAAAAAATGGAAAACATTTCTCATTTTGTTAAACGACTCGACTAGTATTATAGTTCTTTCTATTGTTGTCTTCTTAATGGTTATATTCGCGATTGGTTGTTGAAATTATTTTTAAATTAGAAACTAATTTCCTCTGTTTTTTATTTAACAGGTTTCGATTAGCAAATGAAACTTGTCATGGCCCAGTTTCTCACCAGATTTACCTTCTTTTCGATATTAATTGTTTCCAGGTATATCTTTTATATTTTTTTTTCGGAGTATTTCTTAATATCTGCTCTATTTAATGGATTCTAATCCTTTATTTGTAAGTAATACTGCAGCTTTTGTTCAGTTAGTGCAATTGGTGAGGAGGAGACAACTTTAGGTATAATAAAGCCAGATGGAATGTCGGGTAACTATACTGACAAAATAAAACAAGTAATTCTGGAATCGGGTTTCGAAATCAGTAAGGAAATGGTGATTCAACTTGATGAAGAAACCGCAGCTAATTTTTATGCAGAGCACTCTTCCAAGAGCTTCTTTACTAATCTTATAAGATACATGACTAGGTTATTACTTTTTTCTTGATTAAATTCTACTCCTTCAAATTCATGCTGCTTTTGGATTACATCGATTTTGCAAATTTTCTGCTTCTGGTTTCACCTAATATTGTTATTTCACCCAAAACACAAGTTATGCATGCCTCTAAACAAGGTTATTGTAAACTGCCGTTATGCAAATGTTCTGCATTAGATTTTGTTCAACTAGTTCTGTATTAGACTTTGTTCAACTAGTTCTGTTATTTTATAGGCAACACAATTTATTATTTTCTTCTCAAACTTTCATTCTGTCAATACCTCAGTTCAGTTGACTATGCTGAAAATGTGTCCAAAATGGTGTCATGGGCTGCTTTTTTATTGTAAATTCTCCATACTTTACTTTATGATTATTCATTTTGATTTTCTGAATTTCAAGGCTTATTAGGCCCAACTTTTATTCTTTTGAATGTTAATAATATTTTACATATAAGTCTTGCTGCAGCATATGGTTTTATCTTGTCATAAATAAGATGACAATTGTTGATATAATATCTTTCAAAAATGTTTTTATTAACTATATTATCATATCAATCTGAAAAATTGTAGTAACATGTTAGACAGCTGCTACATCACAATGATTTTCGTTTCCTTCTCCCATTGACATTCTCTTTTGACAGTGGTCCGGTGTTGGTTATGGTTTTGGAGAAGGAAGATGCCATTGCTCATTGGCGAGATTTGATTGGACCCACCGATGCTGGCAAGGCCAAATAATATCTTTCAAAATGTTTTTATTAACTATATTATCATATCAATCTGAAAAATTGTAGTAACATGTTAGACAGCTGCTACATCACAATTATTTTCGTTTCCTTCTCCCATTGACATTCTCTTTTGACAGTGGTCCGGTGTTGGTTATGGTTTTGGAGAAGGAAGATGCCATTGCTCATTGGCGAGATTTGATTGGACCCACCGATGCTGGCAAGGCCAAAATTTCTCACCCTCATAGGTTATAAATGCTACTTGATCTTATACTTTTGTCATTATAGTTCTATTATCTGATGGTTTTCTTGTATATGATCTACTTAAAATTTGGAGAATTGGATGCATGTAAAGGAGAAGATTGGTTTCCTCCATTACCTTGCTAGATTTTGGTCCTAGCCAACTTTAAATCATAACTTCATCCTGGATATTTTGATCTCAGAAGTAATCTGCATTTGTTGGCTGTTTCTTTTTGTGTCCAGCATTAGAGCAATGTGTGGTAAGCAAGTATAAGTATATATAACTTTTTGTCTTCACTTCATTCTGTCTTTTTCATAGCAAAGGTTTTTTATTTACCTTTCTCATTTTCATATTTGATCTTTGGCAGGTGACATAGTCGGAAAACATGATGAACTGTAACCGGTAAGCACTTAAAGCTGAAGCTCTATATATGATGGTTAGCTATACATATAGGTTGGGGCTGGTTTCAATCACTCAATTAGGATAACATAGCCTGCTTTCTTCTCATAAACCTTAATATTTGGTGAAGGCACAATATTATATACACCTCTTCTCGCAATTGGTTGGCATTTTGAAAGGGAATGATGCTACAGTAGTAATCATATGCCCTGCATTAGTCCGTATCTGTTAAAGGCTCGCCTACGGCAATGCCAAAATTTTGCTTCTTTCTTACATGTTTCATATCATTACCATTCACAGGAATTCTTTATCTTAGGTTGTTATCTGCTTTGATAGTTTTATGTGGTTCTTATATGCCTGGTTATCCAACTTGTTGTGCCGTACCATCATTGATAACTTGTTGCTTGACCTCCAAGATACAAATATAATGTAAATTAGTAGGAAATGCTGAGATCTGGTAGATAAAGGGGAGGGTTTTGAAGAATATATTTCGTTGGATTTGGGCAATTTTATTTGTCATTTGTCTCTTATCACAGCATTGCAGGAACATCCAGACTTCCAACGTAGGAGACACTTTATGTTCTCCATTTATAATGTGGCATCTCAGGTTATAACATAAAATTACAGTTCTGAAGTACGAAGTGTACTTAGGTAAACGTACTGAGTGGATATTACAGTTTTTTTCCTACACACTATCGTTAGAAGCATTGAACATATTGTGATCAGACTCCAATAAAATTTTAGTAAAAGCATAGATGCATGAGTTAACAACTAAAATGATATGCTCTTCCTGTATAAACTATCTAGAAGATAAGTACTAGCAAATGGTGTCTGCAAAGGTTAAAGTAAGTTCAATAATATATTATGGTTATGCCATGTTAATGGAATAATAACATCGTTATTTAAAACTAATAGTCAATTTTGCTATTTTCAGAAAATAAAGGAATAAAATTAGGTTGCATGATTATTAATTCATATAGAATTAGAATGCATACTGATGAACTTCAGAAGGTTATGGTATCAAGAGGATAAGTTTTGAAATAGGGCAGGTAGCCCTCAGCACAGTAGTTTCTTAATACTTATTAAAAAAAGGGTAAAAATCCTTTCTGTTCTCACAGAAAGCTTATAGTTTGATTACTTTTATCCCTCCTAAGATTCCTAAATTCCTTTTGGTTTTAAAAAGACATTTTTTTTCTTAAAAATGAAAAATATTGAAGAAAACGTGTTTAATTGAAAATTTTGAAAAATAATTTTTAAAAAAGAAAATGAAAACAAGTGAGATAAATCTAAGAATTTTTATTCTTTTCTTTATATGTTTTTTATTTTTATAAGAACATAATTAACCAAACACATTTTCATGTTTTTATTATTGAAAAAATATATTTCTATTTATCAAATCTTATTTTTTTTTTAAAATAAAAATATAAAATCAAACTTATTTTTTAAAAATCTAAACAAATATTTTGAGAAACTAAACATAGCTAATTTCATAGGAAGCCATGGGTTGATTAAGGGCTAAAAACAAAATTCAGTCGATAATGTATAAATGAACTAATTTAATGTTAACCATGTAGATGTTCACTAATTCATGTAAAATATTATATCAATTTTAATTTAATTTCACAAATATTAAATATAAAACTTACAAATAAATAGAAAATTGAAAGTAAAATGCATTCATATACATACTCTCCTCAAGTTGGAGCATGAGGATAAATCTCACTTCGACAACAATGAACATAAATGATAATGACGAAATGTTTTGTTGAAGATATCAAATAATTAAGCATGAAAAGAGAATGACCTTTGATAAGTTATTTGTTTTGAACTCATCCTTGATTTAAAGTGCAACTGATATCAAATATTTAATACATTCGTTGAAGACAAGATCGAATTGTAACACCATAAAGTTGTATAGACCTGAAGTTTCACATTGGACTATTGAGATAACTAAAATTTAAGATCTTTACCACATTCTTTTCAAAACATAATATGTTTTTAAATAGGGATTCATAACAATTATAAAATATTTATACAAATCAGAGCTCCATGTTACAAATATAAAACCAAAATAATAATAATAATTTCAAGTTTTACCATCCTAGTGCATGAATAAGGATCCTGAATACACATGCCTACTAAAAGTAATAAAATAATACTCTGAAAGATGTCAGAAATCTCGTTGTGACGGTGCTCCTCGAACAAGCTCAAGCTACTAATCTACGAACAAAAACATCTAAACGCTGAGCTTTACAAAGATGAGTAGTATATCATTAATCTAGAGCAATATTATGAAGCTCATAAACTAAGTATGCTAGTAGAAGTAGTAATAAGAAGTAAATATGTTCATGATTCATAAGTATGCTAGTAGAAGTAGTAATAAGAAGTAAATATTTTCATGATTCATAAGTCCGAAGCAACATGCTTTAGGTTCATCAACTATCTCAAAATGTGTCATACTTTCTATAGTATGTAACTAAGATGAACACAATCTGATCTCATATCTCAACATATATACAAGTCATTCATCATCACATACATATACACCATGATAACATACTACAATAGTAGCACCCGATGTCATAATAATAATTAGGTACTAATTACTGATGAAGAACCCGATGTCACATATGTCTCAGAAAAAGTTTTGCCCAAAATTCATAGCATTTGCTTAGATCATCATAGCAGGGAAATCAAGCATCATGAATATCCAACAATCGTCATCAATGCAATCAAACATACATAATTGCCCGTAGACCAAACATAACAATCATAGTCTCGCAAGGTAATCAAGGTAGTTCAAATACACACTATCATGGTTCAACATAATCAGGCGAGGTCACTTCCTCACTCATCACTACATAATTTATTCTCATTTAGAACATTTTGAAAAGGTTAATTAGTCTTTTAGTGTTTTATGACATTGAAGCTTTGACATTATCTGATATGGAAGTTACAAATTGATAACACCTTTCAAGTTACTAGATATATGATTTAATTACATAAAGCTTTTGAGTTGATATGAAAAATCAGATTTGAAAACCTCACACCTATGTAGATGATATTGGCAATTATAATATGGAAAATTGAGAAGAATATGAAAATTATGATTAATAAGAAGGAATGGAAAATAATTTAAAAGAAATAAAATAAAGAGTTAAGTGAATCAAATGAGAAATCTAGAATTTTCCATATCTAAAAAATTGGGTGATGAAGTGGTTTGAAGATGAAGATGAAGGTGATGTTGATTTTGTTCTAGAAACCCTCTTGAACGTGATTGTTCAAGAAAACTCCATAAAAAGCTCTAATCAAACCTCCAAGAATAGGTTATTGACAGCCATAAGTGTAAAGATAGAATTCACCACGAAAACTAAGAGGAAAACACATTGAATAACAACTTCGAAGGCACAAGCATACTTTAAAAATATACTCTAAAAACATATGTATTAAAGAAGAAAATGATTCAAGTTTTTACAAGAGAAGAGGTTGTCCCCTTTTATAGTGTAAAGGAGACTCACAGAAACCCTAAGAATTAGCTAATTGATCATTAAAAAATAGTACATGTTCAGGTAATTTTAAAAAAAATCTAAATTCAAGCATACAAAAAGCTTACAATAAGGAAATCCCTATAACCAACATATGGATAGTAATTTAAAATGAATCCCATGGAATAACTTAAAATACTAAAAGAACTTTCAATTATGCTCAAAGCCTTATAATCCATCTTTCAATTAATTTATTATAAAGTCTAATGTGCCTCAAATAAGTCTTAGGTGTATGAAACAGTTGGACAAGCGACATGGATATTTATGATTCAAGTGTTCTTGAAAACTTGGGGACATGAGCTTTCTTCATAAAATTATTGATTCGTTAGGAAGGCTTGCATTCCATTACTTATAAAATATTGAACTGTTCAATGTAGCTTGTCTTTGAGTTGTCTTGACATTGCTCTCATAATCGGGCCAAGTGGGAAAGTAAGCCCATAAGGTGCATGGGTCTTAGTGCATGCATCATTCTCCCCTACTCAAAAGGATTCACCCTCAAATCTGAAATATCAATAGGAGACATATCAATAACATTAAAACATGAACAAACAATATACTCACTGGACAGGACTATTCAATAAGCATTGTCATTGATGTGCTCAAAAACATCAAAATGAATATCTCTACATGGATCCAACTTAGTTTTCTTCTAGGATGAAAATCCTTCCTTCCTCATATGAATTTAAACCCAATCATTAGTTTCAAAGATAACCTATTTACGTCCTTTCTTAGCTCAAGATAGAGAAAGAATAATGGTTATCTCTTATTGACAGTATTGTAAAAAGCATGCAATATAACTCATACGTAGAGCTGATTTTGTCCTTAAATCAAGCATTTCATTATTCTTTTCAGTTCATTTCATTGTCATAGAATTGTATTGCATGGTATATGTTGACGCATTACATGTTGCATTAAAAACTCAATTTTATCTCTGTTGTACTTTAAAACGTCCAAAAGATGTGTTTGAAGTCGCTGCATGACACTAGTACAAGGATAACGTCGTATGCTGTAGTCTGGGAGATAGTCTAGAAGAGATACAATGTAATACCCCAAATTTATGTTTTGGTCAATTTAAATTTTGGTTAGTGACCAAAACATAAATTTTGAAAGTTTAATGGTTAAAGTATAAAATTGGGTAAAGTTTAGGGACCACTGTGATAAGTTTCTCAAAAAGAAATTTTACCCTATAAATGAATAGTTCACCTCCAAGAATGACTTTTTCATGGGAATCATATTTTTGATCCAAAATTTGTGTTAAATGCTATAAAATGTTAAAGTCCGGTAAATATTCGGTAAATCGGATCGAATATAATTTTGAGAAATTTTGAA